TCTCCGCTCTTCTCGCGGCGGCCTCCTGTCCGTATCTCTGTCATATTTTCTGTCACCCCTGGAAGAGTACCTGCCCTCTTTCTCCCTATCTCTGGACGATTTGTGCCTATCCCTTCTCGGCGACATCTTCGCCGGTCTGTCCCTCTCGGAAGTGTCTTCCCCGGAGGTGACGTGACTCAGAGACTGCCTCCGCGAACCCCCCACGGAGTGCTCCGCGGATTCCGGTGCTTCGATCTTTCTATCTACCGCAGTCTCGGTGACGTCCAAATCGGCTCCGTCGACTACTTGTTCTCTCGAAAATGTCAAATCCCCCGAAGAAATCAAACTCAAATCTTGTAAATTTTCACCTTCCATGACGATCTCCCTCTGCTGCTCGTCGGCTCGAGCACTGAAATCTGGCGATGTGTCGATGCTCGACTCGCGGGCGCCGATAACGCTTCTGGGCGGGTTCCTGATCGTTCGATCGGTATATTCGGATCCGTCCATTATTTGTTCTCGAACTTCAGACACCCCAGATTCCGAGGGCATGGGGAACTCGTGATCTACGCCTGTCACGACACGTTGCTCGTTCGAACCGACATAAGAGTTAGCCTGATATTGCGAATAATCAGTATTGCTAGATTCTCCAGGGACCATCCTGTCTAAACCGATAGGCCGTCTTTCGGTAGTTCTCACAGAGGGTTGACCGTAATTATCAGACGTTTGCTGACCTTCGGCCTGTCTATATGGACGTCCCCCGTTTTCCATTGGCTGTCCGTCTATATGTCTATCCATATAATTTTCATTTGTCTGGTTGTAAGTTCCCTGTGATTCTGTTTGTTGGCCGGGGACCATTCTAGACAGCCCAGGGGGAGGTTCATCTCCAGTGATACTTAAGTTTTGTGTATATTCTGATTCTTGCTGTCCTACAACCATCCTTCTCAAGCCAGGTGGAAGAATATTCTGACTAAAATCAGTATTTTCTCCATAATCTCCACTTGATAAATGTGCTGTTTGTAAATATTCATTTCTGTCATTCTGTGGTGCCACTTCCAAATTTTCAGGAATCTGTGGAACTGCTGGCATCTGTCTAAAGGTTGGCAGTTGAGGCTGGTCAGGTCGTTCTGAATTATCAGGGGTAGTTTCTAAATTAGCCCCAAACCCAACTGCAACCCTATTGTGTTGAGAGATTTTATTTACTACTGAGGGCGATGTCAAATTAGCATTGGGAAGTTGAGAAGAAAATTGTTGCACAGGAGGATTCGGTAAAGGCATTTTGGTGATATTTTTATGAGAAAATGGCCCCGCTAGCTTATATGGATTTTGAGATGACGATGTTGGTGGTAAGTTTTTAGGTGGCAGTAAAGATGAAGATGGTGGAGGTGATGACATTGAGTTTGATGACGATGCAAGAGGTATGTTCCCAGTAGAGGGGTTCGGTGAGGGCACCATTTGGGGTGATGGTGAAGGATTTGGGACCTGATTTGTTGATGTTTGGGATGGAATATTAGAGGGAGATATAGTGGGAGGAGGTTGTGACAAACCAATATTTTGTTGGGTATTTACTTCCTTTTTAGCCAATAAAATATCAGGAGCTGGATATTCACTGTTACTAATGCTCATTTCTTGTAAAGAATTAGATAGATCATCATGGTTGTTATGGATGCTATTCTGAATTGGATCTTGTTCCACTAATGTAACTTCATCAGCTGATTGTTGGGACTGATCAACATTTCGGGGACATAGTAATTCATCTACACCAGACTGTGAGTAATTAAAATTGGAGTTATCAGTATTTAAACCTGGACTACTTTTATTAGAATTTCTCGATTGGTTTTCACTCCTATATGTCCCTTCAGACTGAGTATGAGGACCATCACTAGATTCTTGTGACATTTGTGATTCTATTGACCACTGTGGAGTTAGGTTATCTAAATGTAGACGTTTACCTAGAGCAAGATTTGGTAAATGTTCTTTAATCACATCACGATCATTCAATGTTTTAATCTCTTCTGTTAGTTGTTGACTAGCTACATTAGAGGGGGCGGTGTTTATAGTTGAATTATTTTCTAAAGTCTTTTCTATAGAAGTGATCTGGTTAGATGTAGATTGTGCATCCTTAGGTGCAGTACTCAGTTGTACAGGAACAACAGGAGTAGGTTGAGATCCATCTTTTTTCTCATCCATGGGCCAGTTCCAGCTGTCAGTAGCAGCAAAACTTTCTTCTATAACATTAGCATTATTAAATACTGGTTGAGGTTGATGTGTTTGCTGTACAGTATCCTGGCTAGTAACCTGATGCATTTTTTGTGCTTGTTTAGATGAATCTTCCCAACCCCAATCCCAATTATCCTCCCAGTTCTCAGTGTTTGGTTTATTTTGTGGGTAATTAGGTTGTCCTTGATTTTGGTAATAATTTTGCTGATAGCCCTGTTGCGGAGTGGTATAACTCTGACCGTAATTTTGATTATATTGTGTCGGTTGTGGATAATACTGGTTAGCATTAGCTCCATATTCTTGTTGCTGATATACCTGCCCATATTGTTGATTATAGTGTGGTTGCTGCTGAGGGGGCATCTGCCAATACTGTTGTTGTTGAGTATTAGCAGGGTTACCTCCCTGATAGTTTGGATACAAGTTCTGCTGTCCTCCATATGACTGAAATAACAAAAACCATAAATATTTCTATTACAATGACATTACATACTTTGATATGCAAATAATAAAGCAAGCTTTGCATTATCAATTGTATTTCACTAACTCTAAGTTAGTTAATTATACTTCAAATACATTAGAAATTCAATGATAAGAAATAAGGCTGAAAGACTGATGGTATAGGAACACGTCATTGTTTATGTGATGTTGTTAGGTGTTGTAACCTCAGCAGGCTCACCTGAGGCGTGTTGTAGGGTGGCTGGTCAGAGGCCGGCGGGCCCGCCGCCCCGCCCTGTGGCCGCTTCATCCACGACATATTCTTTGCTGCCTTTTATTACGTAACATTCGCCGAGGGGTCGCGCACATATGCTGCAACTGCGGCAATTAGCCTCGTCACTATCATGGAATCGAACGACACATAAACACTTTCACTTTCAAGACTTCTACAATTTTAAGATTAAAAACTGCCCGTTACGTTTACTAATAAAAATTGATTATGACACTTTTTTCTTGAAAAATTACAGACGACTTTGATTTTGTTTCATTTTAAAATACTAGTTTTGTTGACAGCAAACCATCGATCGAAGGTGCCCTGTTGGCAGTCATCACCAATAGAGTTGTTCAAAACGACTAAAATACATTAACATGCTAAAAACTAAATGCTAAGAAAAATTAGCGTGTTAATTTATTAACGCTCTAAGAACATAACAAAAAGGGTGCGCGACAAACGCATTAAATCAAGCATTATATTAAATCTCGTAGCACGTTATTTATTACACGTCGATCGGATCATTGAATTATCGTGCTATAGTAAACAATAATTTATTCTCAATGAAAAGCGCTTTTAACTAAGAATAATTTTCATCAAAGCATTATGAATACGATAAATTTATTATTTTCAAATATAATAATTTATAATTTTATTCTAATACAATGTTTGATCCCTTCACTAAAACTTGTCCTTATATTAATTAACATTATCATCTTTTTTATAAACACGAACTTACCATAATTATTGATGTCAAAAAAATTTTTTTTTTTCATTTAAAACATTTCATTTTTTTACTAAACATAATTTTTTTATTTTATTCACATAATCGTAAATTAATCTAAACAATTTAAAATATTAACTAACTATGTTGATGATAATACGAATCAAGCAAATACGTCCATTAATATTCGCACCTTCACGTGTTTTGCAATATCGGCTTTGCGCGCGATTGTATAAAACGTGCTGTGAGAATTAATTGTCTAATAGATTCGCGCCCATACGAATGCTGCCCGCTCATCCGCGGGCATCAATAATCATAGAGCGATAGCACGCTAGATTTTTAACTTTAATGTCTACTTACTTAACAATGTTAAATTAAAACGCTAAGCGCTAATTTAACCACCTCTAATCACCAAAGACCACTTAATAATATAGGTAAGATTCGAACGATATTTTTGATATAGGAAGGTATCGATACTAACAAGTTAGTAAATTAGTTTTCAAAGCTCAGTAAACAATTCATATTCTATTTGCATTTGTATTGATTTCTAAGTGTGGAACTTTTCGAATTTCAGTTTTTCAATATGTTAGTTAAAAGGAACGGAAATTACTGTCTTTGGTCCATTTGTTTCCTGCAAAAATCTTTTGCTAGGGTCGCCATCTAGTGGAGGTGCTTTTTAGTGCTTTCGTTTTTTTTTTTTCAAATACTTCCTCATTGTGAGATCTAAATGTCCGCGAAGAAGCACTACAATTTTTGTCTATGATATTCATTCAAATTTTCATTCTGGCGTAATAAAACATTAGTGATGAGCCATCTTATTGGTAGCTCGTAACTTCAAGTCTCTCGAATTCACTCGAATTTAGGTTCGGAATGAAGAACAAAAGTGGGGCACAGAATTCAACTTGTTTTTTATGTGCATTATATTTTTTATTGTTATTATAGTACAATTGGAAAAAAGCCCTGGTTTGTAAATTACACAGCAAGAAGCAGAACATTTTTCACTACTATTTCAAGACTTAGATTGGGACATGCTCGGTTTAATGCTCACCTCCATCGTATGCATATTATTGACTCCCCAAATTGTAATCAATGCAATATCGCTGATCAGACTTTGGATCACATTATCTTTGATTGTCTATTGTACAACAATATCAACATACAACGCCTTGCTCTAGCAGATCAACTTTTGCAAGTGTATAAGAATCCGGAAAATGTCCCGCGCTTTACACAAGAACTTCTGAAGAAAACTGATACATATTCAGCATTATATGCATACATATCCTCAACCCTCAAAGATATTTAACTTCAGACTTGGCGTTAGCCTGCACCTACAAAAAAATCAAAAGACTATTAAAATATGACGTGGCTGTATGGATGAAAGTCCTTTGCCTACCCAGAAATGAGTAAAAAAATCTTTTTACTCTTTGTCGAAGGTGGTCTGAGTTGTTTTCACAAACTTGATTTCGTTTCATCCTAGTTTTCTTGTTTTCGTCGTAGAAATTCTTAAAGTTTCGATATGATTTAAAAATACAGCTGTGAATAGATATGGCTAAAAGATCTAATCCTTTTACTGACGATTTTATTCCTCAAAGTAAAATTCATGTAGGAAACAAGCAATTTAATAACAATGAAGTTAGACTCGAAAAAGTTTACGGTAAGATTGAATTTCATGTAAAATTAAAAGCAATTTCACAATAGTTATAATACGGCATAACTTTGTAAGGCTTACTTTTCCTATCTGTTTATTACTGACATGTTTCAGAAAAAACGCTAGAACTACTGTACAAAGGTGCCAAGAAACCAACTGTTTTAGAAAGTTCAGTAGTGCCAGTACCCACTAGAAAGGATAAAATGAAACAGCTGTTCATAGGCAAAAATGGCAGTCTTTTACACTCTGGCACAATGGTTAGTAACTTAACATAAATGACCTCTAAAGGGACAAATTTCTTACAAATTAATTACAATTAATTCATACAAGAAAGTACATTCTTTATATATTCCAGGTTCAAAATGCAATTTCAGTAAAGGGACTGTGCAGATGTGGTGGATCTTCCGTGTTGAATTGTGCATATTGTGAGAGAGTAATGTGCACCCAGTGTGAGCGCCTCTGCACTCGATGTAACCACTCATACTGCTTTCATTGCTCATTACTAGGGTATTGAAATTATATTGTTTCCAATTGTACCTACCATTATATTTTCTGAACTTATTATTTGAACATGTGGAGCAAAAGACGAACTTTACCTATATTGTAAAAATGTCAATGTCTTCCTTAGAAAAAGAAAATATAGGTAGTTTTTAGTTCATTTCAATTTTTTTTTTCTAAAATAAGGTACTCTTTGCTGTCTTGTGTATAGTAGATTATTTTAAGATATTCTGTAAAAGTTCTGTGCCTATCTAATTTTTATGCTGACAATAAAACTTTGTAATCAAATTCAGTTAGTAGTTAAGAACTCCTCCATAGTCTTATATTGTAATCTGTGAAAATGTAATTTTTCTTTGTTTCAGATCAGATGGTTCAGAGGTGTGCGTTTCTTGTTATGATTAATATAATATAAACAATCCAGAGCTTGTAAGACTGTTGTTTAGTTTTTAATTTGGTTAAGTTTTTTTTTTATTATTAGATGAATAAAAATACAGATATTTTTACACATTACTTCAATTTATTTATACAAAATATAACAAACTAAATTCATTCCCCCTCCATTTCTAAATAAAATATTTTTCATGCACAAAATTAACAAATCAGTTTTACATGGATATATAATAGAAAAAGTCCAGAAGCCAGCATGTTATATACGTATAATTATGGAAACCACAGAAAAATAAGGCCATATAAAAGGCAATCTTATCAATACAGCATTTCAAACAAACCAATTTAATCAGAATGCAAACAAGATTGTACCTTGTACCTAGGACACATTTTTGTCAATATATATTTTTCATAAGGGAAGTTAATTACTTACCTTGATTTTATTTTCTATAATATCAAATTTACATTTTCATTAAATTGGTTTCAATTACAAACATTACTTTAATACAGTATTGACCATGGGCCAACCTAGTAATATAATTATATATTAATAGCAAATTCCATAAAATGGTACACAGTTTATTAACTTTCTTTCACATAATTTTCATTTTATTGACATTCATAACAATGTGATCTCGGCTAAACAATGAAGATCCACACATGTACTTGTTCCCTTTCATTGCAATTAGGAGCAATAACTTCATATAAAATCCATTCTTACAAAATAACAGGGACGACGCAGATTTGTGCATAAAATTATATGTTAAAGCAACAATACATGAAATATGTATGCAGAATTATGATTTACATAGCTATTGAATAGTAATTGACTAATTTTATTTATAAATCATAATGGTATGTGATTGATCACATACGAGTACCTATAACCCTTTGTCCCAAATGTTAAAATCACACATAAAGAATGTTTATGCTTATATCAATAATATAACTTTCGCAACTACAAAAAAGTAACTAAAAAAAGTCGTAATTTAAAACAAGTTTATAATTTACAATTACTAATAAAGGCGCAATCGATGCCCGTGTCACAATCTTGTTACACATATTTATTTGTCACGCGCTCTCCGTCTATACATTGATCGAATGTCATTATGTTAATGAGGAAGTATTTAAAAAAAATAAAGCACTAAATAGCACCTCATTAGATGGCGACTCTACCAAAAGTTGATTTTTGTAAAAGATAGTCATTTCAATTCCTTTTATCTAACACATTAAAAAACTGAATTTTGCAAATTTCGAAACTTATATATCAATACAAATACGAAAAAGTACTAATAGAATAAGAGTTTTATATTTTATTGGGTTTTGAAAATTAATTTACTTTAATTTTTCTACATGGGGCAATCAAGAATGTACCGTAGCGACACCTAGTTTGATTTCGGGAACTAATTATTTTTTAAATACTTCCTCATTGCGCGTGCGCATATATCACTGAATACGTTCCGTGTTAGGGTTTATGCAGAGAGGGATATTAACTCTTTATCGCTATACGTGTATAAAGTAATCCTCTATATTTTATTATCGCCTAGAAATGAGGTACCTAACGGTATTCCGTACATAAGTCTTCATTTTACCATTGCAACGCTTCAAGAAGAGAACTCGTTCGCATCAACCCCAGACTCTATAAGGAGATCGACGGAAGCCATTTCGAGTCCCTTCAAGGGACATGTTAGTACTCTAACTATAGGTAGCACGTAACGCTGGACGTTACGCTAAACAGCAGTGAACTTCTCGAGTAGAAGCTTTAGTGCGATTCTGTAAAAATCCGAACCCGAATTTAAGTTCACTCATATGTCCGAATTCATGTCATTTAGTGAAAAAATTCTATTGATTCCATTTCTTGTGTAACAAAACAAAATTGATAGATTATACGAGTCTCATTTATTCTATTCTAATTTCATGTCGAAACTCACTTCACTTATGGCACGAAACGTATTACCAATTCAAGATTGAGCGGATGCCGCTTTTTGAAGTGAATTCAAATCAAATCAAATCAAAATTTATTTATTCAGTTTAGGCTTTTACAGAGCACTTGTGAAAGTCGAAAACTAATTCAGGTTCGAATTATTACAGATTCGCCTGCTGCAGCTGGGGATGATACCTAAGTTGCGCAGCAGTGACAACGGGGAATGTATGACAGTTTAGCAGAGCGCGGGCGTGTGTGTGTATGTGTGTGTGTGTGTGTGTGCGTGGTCTGTCACTACGCGAACAGGTACCGGTAGAGGAGCGTGGCGGCCAAGCCCAGCACCAGCGGCGCCAGCCACGAGCTCCACGAACTGTCGCAAAAATCACACACTTTAACAAATCGCGTCTAGTCGGTTTCCTAGGGCAGGCGGAAAACTAACAATAACACAAAGTATTATTTGCCGTTGAAATATAACGATACGTATCGCAACTCATATAACTGTGTCCTTCCTGCTCTTGTCCTGCCATGTAGTACTTACTTATTGCCTATTTTTGTAAGGAGTGGGGGCCAGCGATAGACTATCACGGCCCAACAAAACGCTGCGTTGTACTATGGGTCACGATACAGATTATTATCGTTACATCATTTGTGTCATTGTCCGATTCTTTAGATCCCTAGGAACGTAGTACAGCAAACTCGTCGAAGTTCATCAATGAATCGACGCGAATCGGTTCAAATAGTATGGTATTCATGCAGTCGGTTTGCAAACCATGCATTCGAATAAACAGATTGTTGGTAGTTTTTAGACTAGTAGTATAAAATTTAAATATTCTCATTAAATTCTAAACAAAAGATTAAGGGCCAGTTTCACCGGTTACTGATAAAGTTTCAGATAGTTATCTGATAGTTAACGCTATCTACCGGATAAAGGTTGCTGTTAACTTTTTTCTGTTTCACCATCAAACTGCTAGATAATTTATCTGGCAGATAAGTTATCGGCCACTTATTAGTTGACGGAACGGCAACGTCGCTTTTTTGCGTTTCAATACTACGACCCAAATTATCGTCAATCAAAAATCATTTTTAAAACTTAATTAATATATTTTTTTTATGTTCAATATTATTTAAGTAAACTTTTTTCACATATTTTGAATTATAATTTTATGATTCTAGAATGAAAATAATACGATATTCGTATACTTAGCTACGTGTTTACAGAAACGAAACGCAACTGTCATATGTTTTGCTTTGTTGATATTTTGTGCTTAAAATCTTTCATTCATTTCATTTTCATATTTCATGTAAAATTAATTTATTTACTTGACATTGGCAGAATTGTGCGAAATGCGCAGATAAGCCATTAATTAAAAAAAAAGAAGAAGAAGACGCTTTTCATTTTTTAAACTTTTCTTTGTGTATTCTTTTCGTATTTGTTAATTAATAATGGAAAAACAAAAACGTGAAAGAAGTGTGAATTTTAATCAAGAAGAAACGGAGCTTCTTTATTTTTTACTTAGTAGCCCGTTGTAGTTTTTATATCACTTTCTATTAACGATAAAATATAAACAACAGCCCGTTTGGTAAGCCGAAATCGATTCCTAAAAATCTTGATCGTCAAGTGATTCTAAATAATTAGGTCTAGGGTTAATTACTCGATTTCTACGGGTCGCGTAATATGTTCGAAATATTCATCTAATTCGTCTTCTAAAAACTCAAATAAATCCATTTTAGAATATTTGTGACACTCGTGACTGCAATCGACGCAAAGCACACAATAATGGTCTAAAACTAAAACTATTTACGTTCCCGCTACTTGAAACTTTTTTTTATCTATCAGATAACGTCTATATCAGCCACTTGAACCGGCTGATAACATATCTAACACTTTATCTGCCAGATATTTTTATCCGAGACCTGTGAAACCAAAAGTTATAGTTTATCTGGCAGATAAGTTCCTGATAGACTATCAGGGACTTTATCAGCAACCGGTGAAACCGGCCCTAACAATTCAATTTTTTCAATGTTATTAAAAATTGCGTCCACTTTTTTAAAATTAATATGAATATGTCCAATTTCAATCTTAAGTGCAAATAAAATCCAATCAATAGACCAAAAACAACACAAATAAATTGTCATTCAAATATTCTTGTATGGAGTTTTGTCTTTTTATTAAGAATTGGACAGCTTTATGTCTTCCGGTGTTATATTATATAGGTACTAGAGGAGCCACATGCAAGACATTGGCTCTAGTGGGATTTCTACGTCTTTCATCTACTTTCGTGAACAGATGTAAATTAACTTTGACTAATAGAGATATTTCTAAAATATATATGCATATAAAGGGTTAATACTTTATATGATTTGAATTGAGGTCTACAACAATCCCGATTGCCAATACTAGATATTACTCGATACAACGCTTGGAATATTCGCTCACGTTCACTTACAATTACCCCGAACTATCACCCAGTAACTTTACAGTCTCTGATAGATGGGATAATGCAAATGCAGATATTTTTTTTTTCATATTTCATCTGACTGACACTAAAGAATTTGGTAATGTTAGTGATCTCTATTATATTGTCCTTGTAATTACTTTTAAGAAGAAATGCATAATTTAAGTTTTATTTAAGTTAACGATTAAATTATTATCGTCCATCCAAATAATCATGTCAGTTTAAGATTTACTAATGTCATTTTTGTATGTTTTGGGGTCATTTTGTTGTACGATTAGAGTTAATATAAATTAGAAATAAAAGTGGCCCAAGGATGCTTCCTTGGAGTATACCGTGTTTTAAAATTATTTAAAAAGACAAGCATTGTCTTCTTAATTTTTATTTGGACATATTTTACATATTATATTCATTTGTATAAAATCAGTTAAATAAGAAACTAAAAGTTTTAATACGTTGTCTCTAACTTCATATGCATCAAGCTTTTTTAATAATAGTTTATAGTTAACGCTATCCAATGCCTGGGTCATATCAGTGTATATTGCACAAACAGGTTTCGTCTTGTCAACATCTCTGATAATATGACTAAGAAAATCAAAGAGAACAATGTTAATGGTTTTGTTCTTTCTAAAACCCTTTTATTCGTGATAGAGAATTTCAATTTTCTCCAAACAGTAAGTATACAACTTTTCAATAATCTTTAAGAATATTGAAATTAAAGCATTAGGAGTACAATTATTTATTTGTTCTTTATCATCTTTTTGAAACAAGGGTTTAATAATAGTAGTTTTTAGTCGCGGTGGAAAAATACCTTCAACTATACATACTCGTATGTTTATAATTTTTGGTTATATGCGGGAAATAATATAATGTGCAACATGTTATAAAACTTCGATTGCGATGTCGTCATATCCTACGCTTGATGTGTTTTTTAATGACTTTATGGATTACATCGGCTGCTGCTGGAGATAAGAACATCGAGTTGCTTATTTTGTCAATATTATAACATTTTTTTTCAGTGCCGCTATTTATTGTATCAATAAAATCGCCACGCCCTATCATTAATGTGGGATCTGCATTTTAACGATTTTTGTTTTTTTTGTATAAAACCTCATAAAAGGGTGTAAGGAATAATATCACAAAAAAATAATTGTTGATTTTATTATAATTACGAAGATAATTACGTTATTAATGTCGGTAGTGTCGCTTGTGTACGAACAAAAATGAAGGTAGTTACTCACTTACAGTAAATTTTGATCGGACATAACCGACGAGTGGATGCGTCGATCTTGCGTCGATCTGCCAGTTACATAGTTAATGTCGGGAAAAATGCACGTAGGTTCTTTGGAGCGCCAAATTGTTGTGAAACATTACATACACTCTGATTTCAAAAGACATAATGTCGGTCGACCGCAAAGAAGCAGATCCTCAAGGATTTTAAGCCTTATTTTACAAAAAAACCCAGTTGTTGAAAATGGTGCATGTAATGATACAGGTAATATAACAAAGTTATTAACTTTATATAAAGACTTGCCACTCATATTTTATTAATAAAATAGATTTCAAATTTATAATTTTGTATAGCAAATTATTTCTATTTTTTTGGTATAAGAAACAACGTATCTAGGAAAATTAACAAAATATACTTAGTTAATTTTCCGATCAAAAACTTCATACCTACCATATCCGACTTATTGTACAGAATTTAATCTAGTCAAAAATGTTAAATGTGCCACATTCGACACGTAGTATAGAATTTTATACAACAAAAAAAGTTGGATCTACCACATCCTGCGTAAGATAGTAAAATATGTCGGTGTAAAATAGTTTCATGTGACATTGTAACGTATATAAAGTAAAATAAATAAATCTTTTATATATTGTTTAATGTATCGTAGAATAAAAAACACCCATGCCTAATTTCGTAATCCTTAAAATATCCTATATCTAAATATCCTTAATCCCTTAAAATATCGTTTTTTATTCAACTTTTCATCTTTAAACCGCTCTCCTGTAAAGTTGCATATTGTAGATACTACATTAATGATAGGGCGTGGCGAAATAATCATTAAAACTATTAGCTATTTGAACTGGGCTTGTTATAAGTGAATTGTCTTTTTAATAGTACGCCTTTTTTTATTTGTAAACAGAGTTTAACGCTTTACGAAATAATATGTATGCAACGGACGCGCCAGAGCTTGAGATTTTGGCATTTAAAAAAAATATTGTTATTTATTAGACAAGTTAAATACGTGTTTGCTAACGCAACCGTATAGTGTTTCGAAAAAAAAATACATCCATTGCCATATCGACGCTTAAGAACCAAGACCATCTATCTACACTTTTGGCGATTTTGACTTTTTAATGCAGTTCTTTTCATGGTTAATTTACGCATAGTTTCCTTTAATCGATTATTTCAAATTCGCAATATATAAGCAGTTATGAGAAAATACCAATACCACCTTAGTTACGTGTCGTAATAATTGTATGGAAATATCACCTATCTACATAACACGTAATTATTCGTTCTTATTGCGAGTTGCAAAATGAACTGTTATGCGTTACAACATAATAGGCCCCATACATAGGCCCTACAGACTCACGCCGAGAAGTCCCAACACCCGAGACACGAGGATGTGATAAGTTTCTCGCCTTCTCGTTCTCGGGTTCGCATCTTCTCTGTTTGTTGTCGATTTTTTGCCCGCTTTAAGAGATGCCACTCGTCTGCCGAGATGAAGGCCGGCACACTCTCCCTCAACCAAGCTTGGGTGCTTTTTGCCTTATGGGATGGCGCCGAGTCTTGCTAAACCCAATCCTTATTATGAAATAACGTATCAGACAGGGGTTTCACCACGGGCTCTAAAATGTCACTCTGATAATTCTTGGCATCATCACCTCGACATCTTTTTGGCAGAAATGGAGCGGAGTAACACCTTCATACGAAATTTCGTATGAAGGAGTGCGCGAGAGATTCCTTCGGGGGAAGTTTCCGATATGCAGCTTCCAAAATTTGGAACAACATTCCTCTGCCTTTGTTCATATTGTGATACTTTACTTACTTTTAAAAACCACTCGCGTAGATATTTAATGAATGCGCAGCAAGGACTGGGTAATATCAACATGGATATAGGTTTCTTTCAAACGTTAATACATAAACTTTCGCATTTATAACATCTGTAGGATATTGTGTGATGCAGGCTGAATGTTGTGGTGTGGCTTTTTCTCTTCCATTTGAATGTGAACTATTCTAGTCAATGGTCATAGGTGCCCTTAAATCAAATTGAATTGCATTGTGGTTTATTTGTAGGTCTTCAATTTAATTAATAATTATTATAGATATGTAATGTTTTCAATTTCATTCATTAATGCATATTTTAATAAATAAAAAATACACACACACGCACACGCTCATACACACACACATATGTTTTATTATATTTTATTGTCTAGTATTGTGTATTATCATTTTTTTTTTACATGAAATGTGTCTTGTGTCTGTACTAGAATAATTGAATTTCAATTTCCGTGCAGAAGCTGGGACATACTTGCTACTTTTAGCGTCCATTTGTTTTGTTGGTTAAACTTTTCTTTGCCAGTAAAAATTTTCTTATCGGTGAAGAGTTCCTGGCATCACGTCTCCTCATCAGCAATGGACAACGTTCGCGTCGTAACTTACGAAGACGATCGTTTAAAAATTGAATTTTTCTTCGGCTATAGGCCTTTACCTTAAAATCATATTTCAGTAATCTGTTCACAGAAACGCGCGAAATATTAGTCTGCAGAGCGAGTTCCTTATGAGTGCGACATGGATTTCGGCGAAGTCGCTCTCGGATGATTTTGATGTTCGCAGGCGTCCTGACAGAGCGTGGCCGACCACTCCTCTGGCGATTTTGCAGTGAACTTGTCTCTTTGTACCGCTGTATTGTGTGGTAGACGAAGTTACGGCTTACAGGAAAACTTTTCAGCTCGCGGAAAATCTGCAGCGGTTTTTTTATCGAAATGACAGTTGCATGTAATGGTTTCGTTCCCTCCATCGAAAAGTTTGTCTCAAAACTTATGAACATATGAGGTACAGAATGCCATGGGTTTAAATATTTAATTATTAGTGTGTTCATTGTATATTAAACGACCTTTTTCTATTTGGATTAATTTGTACCATCCACTCTCATCTGGGCCTCATTTTTCAATTTTTCAGTCACAATGCTAGTGCATGTATACCAAAGCGCCTTTACTAGTAAAGTCATCCATATCCGAGAACGGAGAGATCTATTGAGAACTCACCGTGAGTGTAAACGGTGCAACTATTTCACTTCAAGGTCTGGCGAGTCTTCTCGGCGTGAGTGTGTACCGCGTAACTAAAACACTTCCTAAGTTATTGGTACAAGTTTTTACAGTACATTCTTACCTTAGGTGCCTAACTAATATAGAGGGAGAGCTTGTGAATAAAATTTGCAAGGGCTTTCTGAGCCTCGACATTGCAGTATGTTGAAGAAGGTACTAAGTGCATACATTGTGCGGAGGTCAGGCGCTGGAACTATATTATTTCCTTTGCCAATACCATGTATATTACAGTTAGCTGCATAAACATACGCAAATATTTTAACTAATACCAGCTATCTACAATAATCTTGAAACTAATGAAGATTTCTTGAAACACATGCAAACACCTTATTTCCTATGCCTATCCATTAATTGATCAGATATAAAAATAAAAAAAATTGTTGTAGAAAAAATATGAAACGTTTTTTTCGTCTTCTGTAAAATCGACTTTTTGTAGATAGATGGTCTTGGTTCTTAAGCGTCGATATATTAAAGTTTTAATGCCTTCTCAGGCCCGGGCAGGTTAAAACTTGCTATCGAAACACCATTTAAAGATATTGTTGTTTCTTTATCTCGGATGTTAGATATTAAATAATAGAGAGAAAATGGAAACATGATTTACAGTAAATAAACACAACATAAATATGTGAGCGTGAATTGATTATATTTTTTCCAGTATATATTGTCAAGTAAAGACAGTCGAAAGGACGAAACACAGGCACGGTTATGTCCGTCAGTCAGGCTAGAGATGTGCCGAGTCAGACTGACTCGAGTACTAACTCGAATACCTAACAGGTACTCAGGTACTCGAGTACTTAAAATACAGAATTCGGATATTCAGGTACTCGAGTACAGGATTCGAGTAATTACGGTATTCGAATCCTAAGTCGTGAATTTTAATAGCAACCTTTTAGCTTAACACGTACGGTTTTATTTGTGACTAATGGTACAGAAAAATTCGTTCACAAAGAACTTCGTTTCGTATTATAATTTTATTTTCGTTGACTACTAATAATTTTATAGAAGATTTTTACGTTTTTAACATAAGTGTTCATGTTTATTTTATTTTTTCTAATTGTTTATTTTAAAGTTATTTACAGTTTCAAGAAATTTAGAAAGATTAAAATTATAAAAGCAAGATTTGCTTTGCGTGCTTCTATTTAACTTTTTAATAATGTTCATAATTACCAAAGTATGATTAAATGACTGATTATAGCTGTATTAATATATTATTATTGAAATACTTTCCTATTGTTCATGGTTCATTATAATGTGTAGTTGTCGTTAAACTCATTCAAACTACAAAGTTCGATTCAAATAATACACGAGTCCACTGAAGTATTCGAATACTTGTATTAGTACTCGAATACCTACCTGACTCTACTGACTCGATTCTTTTTTTAATGAGCACCAAAGTATTCGAATACCAAATATAGCCGACTCGGCACATCACTAAGTCAGGCAGCGCCTCTTGGATGTTGTAAAGAATTCTTGTCCCATCTAGTCCCTAAACGTGTTAGTGAGGCGGAAGCAATACATGCAAACCATTTCCATAAGTAAACTTTATCCATATCAAATCCCAAATAGAACTTTCTGATTAATAAAGTTATCTTTATGAGGGGGTTAGAAAAATAAAGCATTCAATTAATGCAGCAATGAAATTTTATTGTTAAAATGTTACAAGTATAGGTGTATGTAGATAAACGTAGTACTATAGTATTGCGATACAGAGATAAGCACCGTAGACGACTAGGCCGTGTTTTACTATACACATATATTAGAGAGATAGGTAAAGATCTACACATTCCTTAATTAAGTACTAATATAACGTTTTTTGAAAGACGTATTTAGCCATCAAAAATAAATTATAATTAAGTAAAAATTAATATATATTTTTTAATAGGTAACTTTAGAAACCGGCCAAAAAGATTTTGTAAAAGCGCCGAAAATTGTGTAAAACTAATGTATAAAAATAACTTTATGTGTGAAACATTTAAAATATACAATGGTGACAACATTAATCATCGTAAATGAGATCGTGTCAGACCTATATAGTAGGCGAGCCATATTCTTACAACTTATAGCATATACTATTAAATATACTTCCATTACATGCTACTATACATACTTCCATATATAAATTAAAAAATTTCATCTACCTACCCTTAAAATGAAATTATCACGGTACATAAGTTTTTGTGCCGAAAACAAATACCTATCAGATCTACGTTATGTGATCACTACAACAAACACGTGCGTATATTATCAAAGAAAAAAAAACAGATAACAATGGTGAGCTATTATACAGGCATGTATATGTAACAAGTACTTATTTAAATAAACGGTGATATGGTTACATGATCAGGCCATCTACCAATAGTCTAGGCGAGTACGCACTTGCCCTGCTCGCTGGGCTGGTCGTTGCTCCACTCGGGCGCAAACGCCGCCTTGTTCTGCGTACGATCTGCCTCCACTAGCTCGCCGATCTTATACTTCTTCATCAACGATCTAAAAGTTAAAAAAAACGGCCATGTTTTAAAGTATCGCCATGTCTGAAGTCTCAGCTGCTAACTTTGTGATTTACGTGATGTTGATCATAAGTACATATAATGTATTGATTTTGACCATTTTAATATCATTGACACTTTATTATACACTCTTAAAGCCATCGAATTACTTTCTAGAACCTAGTGCTGTCCGCATTGCTGGGAGTTTGAGTTTATCAGGACATCTACAACTGTATGGCCGAGGAACATTATACAAAAACGGGGAAACAGTTCTGGGTGACTCCTGACAATGACATATATGTATTTCAAGTATATATAAACATGATACAGTCATGTCATAACATTAAGTGCCTTAAATAAAGGCCTACATGAGGCCAAAACTTCTACGTCATATATGGCATGGATGCATGCCTTTTGAGCAATGAGGATACTTGTGCGGCATGAGCTGCTCCCTAAAATTATGCCATATCTCAAAATCGAGAAAACCTGTCCACGGTAGGCCTGAAGGGCGTTTAGTTTGCTTGTTTTCCCCAATTTCCACATATACATGTGAATTTAGCGCATATACATGTGAATTTATTCTTTTGCATAATTTAATAATCCTTGATCTAACCAAAGGTCAGAGCTTCTTGTTGGGCAAGTTTTTGGATTGTGATTTAGGATAAATCACAATAAATGTTATAATTTTTGTCTATTGCTAGCGTGTATGTTATTTTGTATTCAACCTCAGCATATCCAACTAAGTTCACTCATAGTGTTAGTTTGATACATTACTTATCTTACTTTTCTAAAATTTGGTTTGTTGGTAAATACTAGTCTAGCAAAATCTTGTGTTTAAATTACAGTATAAGTGAACTCATAAGTTAAAAAAAAAAGAAAATGTTGGGTGGAGTTTTGTCGACACACCTTATATAAATTCGTATATTCTTTTTTTTTTAAATCTATTGCAAATATTATTAATTATGGATACAGCACAAAACCACAATTATATAATGAAAATAAGAGATGAACTCACGATTTGCGGCCTTGTGTATATAATTAATTATAAGTTTTTTATATTCGCAAAGACGATATTCATATAAAATGCTTATATCTATTTGAGATGTCTAAACTCGGTTAGCCGATATCAATTACGTACTTAGTTCACTTTTTTGTTCAATTCCACCGCCTCAAAGAATCGTCAAGTATCGACTCGACGATTCTTTGAGAAAAATCATATATCAGCTTGCTTCTGATAACTAGAAAAAAATGAGGACAGAGTCATCACACCCTTAAATATGACTAATGCCCAGACTAAACGCTATATTATGTTTTATATAGTACCTGGCGTCAGAGCTATGGCTGACATCCTCGAAGGGTTCCGTGGCGTCTTGGCCGGCCTTTTCCAGTAACACTTCCTCGCCTCCCGGATGCTGTCAAAAAATAGGGTACACATCAAGCTCCTTGAAAAAACAATATTTTCGTTAAAAGTTTTTTCGGTTCGGTGAATTTTATGCCATATTCAAAGTAAATAGAAAGCAATATTAGGAAACACGTTGACATCGCGATAATATATGTAGTTAGAAAGTACATATTTAAATAAACATTTTATTTTAATAGGAAATAAAAAAGGGTTAATAAAAATGACTAGGTAAGTAGATGACTAAAAATAAGTCCTAAAATGTGTATTAATACGTCCAACACTATATTAAGCTCTTTTTATTTCACAACAAGGCTCTTTTAAGATTACTTGGCTCATTTCGATCATCGATTATCAGATAGATTCATGAGCAGAGAGCAAGTACTAATCGTGTTACGAATATATTTAAAAATTACGTTGGCCATATCAATGGTATTTGTTCCAAAAATATAATAACATTTTTTTTTATATTAAGAAGCTTCAAAATACACTTAAAATTGAATCGATTCTCCTTATATACTGAGTTGAGGACAATTTACAAAAACAACTATTTATACCATTTTCATAATGTTATACATTAGTTTGTTATATACACATGCATTTTACTTTTGTAATACTGCAATTTACTCATTTACTATTCATTAATGCCAAATCGGTTTTTGCATTATACATAGTACATATATTACTCCAAAACAAAAATCAAGTAAAAGTAGTAAATAAACAAAATATAGCCGCTGGCTGGCCAACAAGTGCGCTTATTTGGTACATAACATGCGACTCAATGGTTCAGTTCATTTTTTCGTTCATTCGTGTCAGTGAGCGCCATTGATCTATTCGGAGCAAAGTTTGAGATTTGGATCGGATTTACACATGTCTAATTTAATTGAAATGAAATGAAAATATCTTTATTCAAGTAGGCTATTACAAGCACTTTTGAATCGTCCAAAAAACTTTTTTCCCCTACCACTTGTTCAGGACGTCTTTTAGCTGACAAGAAGAACAAGCGAAAGAAACTTATCAGCTTTTTATCATAAGTAATGACATTTACATAAATCATGTCATTACCAAAATAATATGTATTATCAATTTATCACAATAGTAAATACAACTTTCAAAGTCTGTAGGACATAAGTTGAACATATAATTAGTCTTTATAGAACAAAGCGAAGGCTATTAATTCCATGCATTGCGATCCTTAAAATAATCATCAACTTTATAATAGCCTTTACTCACAAGTATATTCTTTACATGAATTTGAAATTTATTTATGGGTAGGTCAATTACATTTTGTGGAACTTTATTGAACATAGCAATACATTTACCCAGAAATGATCCTCTGGTTTTTTGAAGTCTGAAGCTTGGAACGGCAAGTTTATCTTTATTTCTTGTGTTAAGATTATGAACACTACTTTTTTTTGTGAAGGAATCGTAATGTTTTCTTGTATACATAATATTCTCATAGATGTATTGAGAGGCAACAGTCAGAATATTTATTTCTTTAAATATTTCTCTTAGAGATTCCCTAGACCGTAAATTATATATAGCACGGACAGCTCTCTTTTGTAAAATAAAAACATCCTGAATGCTAGCCGCAGAACCCCATAACAATATACCATACGTCATTACACTATGAAAATAACTAAAATATACCAATCTTGCCGTTTCAACATTTGTCAAGAGTCTAATTTTCTTAACAGCAAAAGCTGCAGAACTCAGTCTACTTGACAAGCTATCAATATGAGGATCCCATTGCAGTCGGGAATCTAGTGTAATACCAAGGAACTTTGTCGATTCTACTAACTCAACTTTTTCACTATTTACATTTATAAGTGTACTGACATGCCTCACATTAGGTAATGCAAACTTTATGCATTTCGTTTTATTTGAATTGAGCTTTAAATTATTATTATCAAACCACTGTAGAACGTTGTCGAGAGCATTATTTACATCGTCAAAACAATCATTACCCCTCTCAACTTTAAACAGTAAAGAGGTGTCATCTGCAAATAATACTGTCTCGCACAAATTCTTCGTAAAGTGAGGAAGATCATTTATATAAATTAGAAAAAGCAATGGTCCTAATATCGATCCCTGAGGTACGCCCATAGTAACTGGTGCCCCTGCAGATTTCGCTTCATTGATTACTACCTTTTGTATTCTAGCAGAAAGATATGATCTTATTAGATGAAGTGAATTTTTCGTCACACCATAATGTTCTAATTTCCCCAACAGTGTTTCATGACTAACGCAGTCGAATGCTTTTGATAGATCACAAAAAATGCCAATAGCATCTTGTTTATTCTCCCAAGCATCATAGATATGCCTCAGAAGTGCAATTCCAGCGTCTGTTGTACATTTACCTCTTCTAAAGCCAAACTGATTTTGGTGAAGTAATTTATTTAATGAAAAGTGTGCAAGCAGTTGATTGTACATCATTTTCTCAAATACTTTACTTAATGCTGGTAGAATAGAAATTGGTCTGAAATTACTAGGATCAGACTTGTCGCCTGCCTTGAAAAGTGGGATTATTTTACCATATTTCATTAAATCAGGAAAAGTTCCTTCATCAATGCACTTATTAAAAATAAAAGTTAATTGAGGTGCTATAGCTGGTATTATAGATTTGATAACATAAGTTGAAACGCCCCAAAGATCTTCGGTTTTTTTGACATTAATACAATTAAATGTTTTAATAATTGAGCAGACGTTAACGTGTCTAAAATAAAATTCAGTATTGCACTTATCAACAACTGACTCTAGATGCGTAACCGCAAGTTTAGAACATGAACTAAGATTTCTTGTGATTTCTATTGGTGTCTTAGAAAAGAATTTCTCAAATGTCTCGGCAACCGCTTCATCTGTTTTAATAATTTTATTGTCAACCTCTAATGAGTATGTGCGCATATTACTTTTATTTTTTCCCGTTTCTTGATTTATGATAGTCCAGGTTGTTTTTATTTTATTTTCTGAATTGTAAATTTTTTCAGATATATATTTTGCTTTTGCTGAAACACATACTTTCCTAAAAATTTTCGAATAATTTCTGACATATTCAATAAACTTTGGATCGGTCGAGGTACACTTTAGCTCATACAAATCATACAGCCTATTTCGACTTTTGTAGATGCCAGGTGTAGCCCAATCACTAAATTTCTTTTTTTGGTTAGTAAAGTTAATTGTTTTGAGTTTAAATGTTTTATTAAATTCTCCCTTTATCAAGTTAAAGAAATTATTATAAACATCATTTATATTTTCCAAATTACTAGTTGTCAACTGAGTATGATTTGCAGAAACACTGTTTTTAAATTTTTCTAAATTACTTTTGGTAATAGGTCTACAAATTATATTGCATTCAATTGCTTATCGGGTTGAATAAACTGCGACCTACTGAATCAACTTTAAAAGTTATTTCACTTACGGGAAGCTACGTCGTACGCCGGTGACACAGGCTATGATTTACTCGGGCTAAGTCACGGGAAAATGCTAGTGTTGAAACAGAGTCGTTGGTATTACAAATAAAAAACAGACAGCAGCTTGTAATACGACTGTTTACCCAATTGAGCGACTTTACTATAACGAATTTTAGTGATGTAACAACTCCGATTCAAATCGGTTTGGGATTAATACAGTTAAGTCGAATAACATAAACATAATTCAGTCCCAGATGTGTTTTTTGCATAGAATCACTAGTTCAAGTTGTTTTTTTTATCGTCAGAATTGGGTATGTATCGACCATTATATTTTATTAATAAAATTTAAATTCATAGTTAATAAATTTTAGAAAAGACACTCAAAGCTATAATGAAACTTATTTACATATTTGGGATAGAAAAAATATGTCCACAAAACCTAATAGTTTAATATGGGTTTCTATACTCCATTCACTATAACATTAGAAAAAAGAGGGTCATAGAAGCAGCAGTGCAGAACATTTTATTTTCAAGATAAATTTAAAAAATATATGGGCCAAAATACTTTTTTATGCCTAAAAACCTGTCCCTTTGAACTAACGTTGAATTTTACGGTAAAACACTACAAAAGTGTAAAATAAGTATGCTAATTTCAAAATATTACATTATTGTTTAATACAGAACACAAGATTTGACCAGTAAAAATACATCATTATAACAAAAAATATAGTAACAATGTTGTCATTCTTAGTAACGCATTTGTTCTTCATACAAAATACAGTTGTCCTTGAGCACATGTCTCAAGCTTCTCTGGATTTTTTTTCACAATATTTCCTAGGTGGCGATTCATAATGAATTCCGCTTTAAAAATTTAAGCCCTAAACCTTATTTATAATGCCAATAAATATTTTTTAAACAAAAAATTATTGGAGTAAAAAATTATTTTGACTGTGTCTCTAATAAATACTAAAATCGTAACTACCTTGCGTTGCTATATGAAGATAAACCTTTAAGTGAGTGTATTACCCTTTTTTGCACTTTATTCGGCTTTACATATTGTAACTCGTATAACGAACGATGGCAACCGCGGGGGAAGAGGACGCTCGTCAGATCAGTCGCGTCGGAGTCGTCAGGAGAGGTGCGTGTATTTATTGCGTGGCCGCTGAGTTACCACTGTCGAAAGGTACGTATTGACAATATTTACATAATATTTGTTTTATATGTAGTTTGTCATGTATTGGATCTGTCAGTGTTAGAATATTTGCACTTTGTTATTTCATTTAGTGATTATATACAACATAGTCAAATATTTACAACTGCGTTACTGCTACACTGCGTTACTTGAAAATGTAACGCAGTTGTTGCATTGGTAACGCAGTTGTAAATATTTGACTATGTTGTAAACAATCACTAAATGAAATACCAAAGTGCAGATATTCTAACACTGACAGTACAAAGACATGACTAACTACATATAAAAATAAATAATATATTTGTCAATGTTGGTGATACGTTATTTAAGCCTTAATTTTCATATATTGTTTCTTTTTTTATCTTAGAGAAAAGATTCTACGCTAAATGGCGTTAACAAATGCAGAAAAAC